GGTAGAAGTTTTCTTAACATAGTCGCTGCTTAGTTCCAGGTTAACTTGATTTTATTTTTGATATTCTGAGGCATGACCTCCTGGTTGGTCTTATGCAAGTCATTTCACTTTAGATTCTTTGAATTTTCTTACCAATGGGTAAGCTGAACTTCAATGTGAAGTTTAGAATAGATTTTGACTCAGTTATCTGTATCTTCGGAATGCTTTGAGGGGCCAGCGTTGTGGTATAGGGGGTTGAGCCACTGCTCCACTTCCGATCCAGCTCCCTGATAATGTGCCTGGGAAAGCAGTGGAGGATGGCCCAAGTCTGTCTGTCTCTCTCTCTCTTTTTCATTCTGACTGTCAAATAAATAAAAACAAATCTTATAAAGAATGCTTTCTCATCGTTGAAAACACACCATAAAGGTAGTTTATAACAAAAACACTGTAATAAAAGCATGAGCTCTGGACCCAGCACAATGCTAAGTGATTTATAACAATTTAGGTTTTTTGAGTGTTTACATGTAATCCCCACTACCAGTGAGGAAGCAAAGGCACACAAAGTAGAGTAACTTATTCTAGGTACACACTGTTAGTAGGAAAGCTAGATTGAAGTTGTTATCTTCAAGCTTGTACTTTTGCCTTTTTATCCAGTGTTGCTCCCTGATATTACTTCCCAAGAGAAAGGCATTTAGCCCAACCAAAAGAGAATATTGTTATAGCTACTATTAATAATGGTGATGAATATACTTTCAGTTCCCACTTTATACCATACGCTTTATATACATTATTGTGAATCAGTTGCATTTTGGTAATGTAAATATAATTTTTTAAAATTTTACATAGATAAGATAATTAAGGTCAGAGGTCAAATAAGACTTAGAAAGTATTATTGAAGGTAGTTAGACTCTCTAACTCCAAAATGAAAATTGGTCAAAAGCATCAAGGGATGAAAATTTGTGGCAAAACAGAAGAAAACAAGTTTCCCAGCATGGTTTGGACCTATAATGTGTGACCAAGTAAAGGGGTTACAGGGACCAATGAGAATAAAGGGACTGTGGGAGAATTTCTGAGGGTATTTTAGAGGATAAATGAGTCCCTGAGGATCAGGTGGAATTTTGAAGACTTGTGGTGGTAGGAAAAGAGATGTGCTTGAGTATGGGAAAAAACAAACAAAAATTGCTATTTTCTAATAGACTGAAGTCATGTAACAAAAGAGTATGATGGAGATGAAATAATCTTACAGTTCTTTAGAAGGGATCATTTATAATTTTTCTTTTTAGATAGGTGGCTTGGGTGAGAAAGCTGCTCTCACATGTGACAGTACCCTTTAAAACTTGAAACATTGGAGAGTGCTGTGTTGTATCATCTACAGCCTATCGTGGTAGTGAGGAGGGGTTGGCTAAAACTTTGATGGCAGAGATTCTTCTTGTCTTTTTAACTCTCTGGCGAGGGTATTCTTGGCAACAAAGCCAGAGTCTATGTTCATTTGACTTTCCTTCAGAAACTATTTTACATCACAATAAATCACCAGTCTTTTTATTATCAAGTTCTTGGTGATCTTAGTATTCGATTACATTACCTGATACAATCGTGAATATCCTGGTGGTAGTTTTATGTACATCTTCTTGTCCTCAACAAGGAGCTTTTCAAAAAAGTAGATTAACTGGGAAAAGTGAATCTTTAGCCCTTAGTGTATATAGATGGATATATTTGAACAATGACAAAAAGCAGTGCACTTGGGCATAAAAGAAAAGGTATCTTCTTCCTTTCCTTTCTATTCTTTTTGCCTCGTTTTAATGGATTCCAAGTATAATTGAATGGGCCTCCTGAGAGTGAAAGCTATAGTCAATTAAACTAATCATATGGGAAATAGCTGATGTACACTTTAGGAATAGTAGTGGTTTTGGTGATTATATAGTCCAGTTTACAGAATTTTAGACCTTAAAGTTGGCAGACTTAAAATTCATCTGGACTAAAATCCTAAGCAGTGGAAGGATTTCTTCTTTGCTGTCTTTTCCTGACTATGGGGCATGATGCTTCTACTTGAGTTCTTACAGCAAGTTCACTAGACTGAAGCTCTCAGACTCTAGGAGACCAAAAACTGTAGGAGCTTTGCTTTCCACCCTATCTATGTTGTGTGGCACTGTGCCCCAGCTGTCCTGCTATGTTGTAGTTTCTCTCTTTTTAAAGATGTATTTATTTATTTGAAAGATAGAGTGACAAAGAAGGTGAAGAAAGAGAGAGATCTTCCATCCACTGGTTCATTCCCCAAATGCACACAGTAGCTGGGACTGGACCAGGCTGTAGCCAGGAACTTCATCTTGGTTCTCCCATATGGGTGGCAGAGACCCAAGTACTTGGACCATCATCTGCTGCCTTCCAGACACATTAGCAGGAAGCTGGGTTGCTGAGCCAGGATTCAATCCCAGGCACTCCAATACGGCATCTCAAGCATGGCTTAAGCCACTGTACCACAAAATCTACACACTCTTTTTTACCATTTCTTCAAGCTTTTGTTAGGGGCATTAGAGCCAAAGACATTCAAAATGAAAGCCCATTTCTGCCACACCTCTGATTTCAGTTATTTGGATGTAAAACAAGAGGCCACAGTACTTGACTAGGGAGTTTATAAGTGCATTCTGAAACCTCCTTAGAGTTTAGAAAGATGAATTGCAATGACTATAGAGAATGTGACGTATGGTGGGCACATTACGCGACCTGTTTCCCTTGCACCTAACTCTAATCTTTGCTCAGCATGGAATTGATTCTGAGTTCAGAATCCCAGTGGTGATCTCTCCAGCAAAGAATGAAATGAAACTATTGCTTTGTATGTACAGGGTTTTATGTAAATTCTTTTTTTTTTTTTTTTAACAGACAGAGTTAGACAGTGAGAGAGAGAGAGAGACAGAGAAAGGTCTTCCTTTTCTGTTGGTTCACTCCCCAAATGTTCTCTATGGCCGATGCGCTGCACCAATCCGAAGCCAGGAGCCAGGTGCTTCTTCCTGGTCTCCCAAGTGGGTGCAGGGCCCAAGTACTTGGGCCACCCTCCACTGCCTTCCTGGGCCACAGCAGAGAGCTGGACTGGAAAAGGAGCAACCAGGACAGAACCGGTGCCCCAACCGGGACTAGAACCCAGAGTGCTGGCGCCGCAGGCGGAGGATTAGCCTAGTGAGCCACGGCGCCGGCCTGTAAATTCTTTTTAAGGGACATATAAGGTATGATGTATACGGATGAGTAGGAAATTCAGAAACTCTGCACTAGCATAGAGTACTTGCCTTCCTAAAGCGATGCTGGTATAGTGTTATGAAGAGCAAGATTGTTATGTTGCCTGGCGGTGTGGGCAGAAAAGGGAAATACAGGCTTATGTCAGAATTTATTAGCATCAACTAAGACTTCTAACGCAAAACAACTGGCAGAAAAGTGAAAACTTCAGTTACAACCTCAGTTATACTGTTGTGTGGTCTGCATTAAAATCACCAGGCAGAGTGATTCACATTAGTCTCGCTGTTTCTGTTTTTCTCCCTACATACAGCCTTGTTTAAGAAACCATCTAAATAATTAGTGTTTTTGAAAGTGACTATCTGATACATCTATTTATAATGCTCATTCTAAAACTGCTCATTATGCACTGGTAAAATATTTGGAAGTCCAGTAGTTGTGCAAATTCGTCCTTTGCCTACTTTTTCTTAGAGACTGGCAACATTGAGAGGAGGAAGGAGCTGCATCTTCTCCATCGTCTTTTCCCACTGAGTTTACTTTGTGAGCAGAGCTTCCCTAAATAATTATCCTCATGTTGTGCCTTCATATTGAAAGCCATGTTACTGATTGGGGGTGGGGGTGAGCACCTTTAAATTTATTATTGCACTCTTTCAGAAAAGCTGTTAGTAGGGAGTGAGTAACTTTTACAAAGTAGGCCAGGCAGATTCTAATGATGGCATTCACCAGTACTTTCTAGGGAAAATATAATGCTATATCTTCATTTTAAGAATAAAATCTAAAGCTAGAGAGGGAATGGATTTCTGAGGTGGTCTGACTTGCCTGTTAGGGGTATTGTAATTCTGCCACTTTATCAGAGGAATGTTTTACTTTGGAAAATCTGTAACTTAAATCTAAGTTATTTCACAACCCAAAGAGACTTTACAAAGTCATATACATATTGAACAAACTTATCCTGTCTGTATATTTTGAAAGGGAAAACTTCATTTCTGCTACATTTAGACTGAATGTATTTTGGGTACAGAGTGTACATACAATGTTGATGAATTGTCTGTCCTCTATGGTTGGGTGGTAATAGCAATCCAGTAGATTGAGCATTCTGTTTTTGAGGCGTGCTGGGTAAGTGAGAAAGAATGTGTGTGTGTGTGTGTGTGTGTGTGGTGAGTGTGTGTGAGTGTATACGTGCGCCCCTGTTGGTGCACATGCCTGCGCGTGCCTGTCCTTGAACATCGTGACAACCTGCAGTGTTACACTTAGCCTCTGCTCACTTTTTCAGATTCTTTTCTTCTATCCTTTTGATCCTGTTTGACCAAGTCATGGAGATTTTTCTACTAATTCCAGGAAACAACTTCATATTGCATTATGTATATTTTGAGGATACATTATTTATGCATAAGCAATTTAGCTAATATGTGATGCCAGTGAATTTAATTAGTTTAGAGTACTTTTCAAGGATTTAAAAACTTGCACAGTAGATTGTTTCCTTTGGAAGAAAAAAATCAACCTATAAATGCTTTTTTTTAAATTTTTGATTGCTATATTACTACTTGTACATTTTTATGGGATACAGTGCAATATTTCAACATATGGACAGCATGAAACTGATCAGGAAATTAGTATATCCTTACCTATTTTCTTTATATAACTTTTTAAAGATTTATTTTAGGAATATTAATCTAATTCATGTTCAAATAGAAAAGATTTTTTAAAAAATTATCTGTCATATTTTGCATGTTATTTCCTCTCAGACTTTTACAAACTCCTATTAATTGGGTATCTGATCTGTGTTGTTTATTTTGTAGTTAAAACAGAGCCCATGAGCAGCAGTGAAATAGCTTCTACCGCAGCAGACGGGGCTTTAGACAGTTTCTCAGGGTCAGGTAAGGCATAAATGTTAGATTTTCACATTACTACTATGCATTATATTTCCAAGTTTATTTATATGTATGTGGAGATAAGTATGTGTGTGTTTATAGGTGTATGTGTCTGGGTGCATATATATATATATATATACCTATTGATGCATTCAAGGGGTCTTCAAAAAGTTCTGGAGACTATGTTGGGGAAAACTAGGCATCAAAATTAGCCTATCTTCAATTTCATTTTTCCATGAACTTTTTGGAGTACCCTTATCCATGTGTTCAGGCTTTTTATGCCTTTTTATACAAAGTACACCTTTTCTTAGAGTTACATGTTTGCAATTCTGGTGTTTTCATTCAGTGTAAAGAAGTATTTGCTAAAAATATTGGTATCTAATAAAGTAGATAAAGGGATTTTGTTTTATTCCCTTTGTTCTACTAAATTATTATGCTAATGATTCCTTCCCCTTTCTCTTTCATTTGCTCATTTTTCCAGTTCCTTCAGGCACAATTTGAATGCTTATACCCATTAAGGAAACTTAGCAAGCTATTCTCCTAGAGACAACCTTGTCAACCCTATATCTAAATTAAATACACTCTGTAAAGAAGCGCTAAATTCCTTAGTTATTAATTTCTTTCACATCAGTAAAATCTGCTTCTAATAAACAAAACATCCAAGCTTTGCATCTATCATGGTGAAATTACTGATAAGAAAGTTGCTGTGATAATAAAAGTAACAGTGAGAATCTCATTATAGAATTGCCAAGCTACCCAGACAGGAGTATTTCATGTAAAAACTATTTATACCAGAGGTAATTCCTGAAATTATTCATCCTTTTTAATATTAATTGTTATAGTTGTCAAACATTTTAATCAGACATGCACTACTTTCATAAATTTGTATTGGTTTAGTCTACTCACGGAATGATTTATTTAATACCACCACAACAAAAAGTAATTATATGTGAAGCAGATTTAAAATTAAATGCAAATATACAGCTTTGATACTAATGATACCAGATGGAAGTTCTGAGGGAATAACAAAAGGTATAATAGCCGCTTGTTCTTTCATAAGCCATTTACTAGTATTTGACTTTGGCCAGGCAGTGTGCTTGGGGCAATTATGAATTCATAGATGTGTGAAGTGGCCCTAGTGAGTAAATGACTAGACCATCACACTATCATGTGCTAATAGCCAAGGGGATTCCAGGGAGCCCCCAAGAACACCCAGGCAGGCACCAACAGACTGGGGTGGAGTGGGGCGGGCAGGAAGGTGCTTCCTCCTGGTCTCTCATGCGGGTGCAGGGCCCAAGCACTTGGGCCATCCTCCACTGCACTCCTGGGCCACAGCAGAGAGCTGGACTGGAAGAGGAGCAACCAGGACAGAATCCGGTGCCCCAACCGGGACTAGAACCTGGGGTGCCGGCACCGCAAGTGGAGGATTAGCCTAGTGAGCCACAGCACTGGCCTGTACTGGCTCTTAAAAGATGAATTGTAAAACCACACATGTAGGACTGGCGAGGGGGATTCTGGGCCAGATGGAGTGCTCTGGGGGTGGAGACTGTGGCACAGAGGGTGTGGAACTCTGAGCTTCTGTGAATAGGTCAGCATCCTGGTGTGTGCAGTGCTAGCCTCCAGTGCAGGCTGCAGGGGGAGACGGACCAGAGTCTGAACAAGTTTGAGTTACCTGCACAGAGTTTGCTTCACTCTAAGTGCAGTGGGAGTCATCGAAGTTTGCGTGGTCATATTCGTAGCACAGAATCATGACTGTAGGGGCAGGGTGGATGGAGTCAGATGAACTGAAGTAGAGAAACCAGTTAGAGATTTTTTTGGGGGGTGGTGGCTATGAATTTGAGTGAGAAACACTGAAGGCCTGAGATAATGCACTGACATTGTTTGTAGAAAAGCGGGTGTTAGATGTATTATGAAGTAGAACTTATAGTCATCAGTGACCTATGGCATGAGGGGTAAGTGAGACAGAGAAAGAAATTGAGCAGTAGGCAGTGTACAGGAGCATGACTGAGGCCATTGCTTGGTGCACTGGTTATGACACTGCTCTGAACACTTGCACCCCATTGGAGTGCCTGTGTTCGAGTCCCCAGCTCTGATTCCAAGACCCAGATTCCGTCCCCAGATCCTGGCTTTGGCCTGGCTCAGGGAACAAACCAGCAGGATGGAAGCTCTCTGTCTCTCTCGAATAAACTCTCTCTCTCTCTCTCCTCTCTCTTCTTTCTCTCTCTCCTCTTCAAATAAAATTAAAATAAAATCCATATTTGAAAAAAAAAGAGCATGTGGCCGACATCATGGCCTAGTGGGTAAAAGCTACCGCCTGCCATACCAGCATCCCCCTTGGGTGTCAGATTGAGTCCCAGCTGCTCCACTTTCAATCCAGGTCCCTGCTAATGGCCTGGGAAAAGCAGTGGAAGATGGAATTGCTTGGAAGTGGAAGTGGAGGTACTTGGGCACCTGCCACCAGTATGGGAGACCCAAATGCAGCACTTGGCTCCTGCCTTTGGCCTGCCTCAGCCCTAGTCATTGCAGCCACGTGGGGAGTGAACCAGCAGATGGAAGATCTGTGTCTGTCTTTGTTTCTTCCTCTCTATCTAACACTGACTTTCAGATAAATAATCTTTAAAAAATACAGCATATTTGACAAAGAATGATGGTGACCTCACTCTAGGTATTATTGAATGTGAGGTCACATCTACCTGAAGAGGGTCAAGCAGGGTTTGGAGTTCTGTAAAGATTTTCAATTGAGATTTTGAAAGTGTAGAGGAGGTTCAAGCTAGTGGGCTGCAACAGGGTTAAAGACAGAACTCAGGAAAATCCAGCACGTGTAAGGGATCCCAGAAGATGGGATGAAAGCAGGGATTATAAAGAGGGAAGAACGTTGGACTAGAAGTGAAGGCAGGAAAGAATTTCTACCAGTCCCAGATTCGTACACCAGACGTTAAACATTAAGAGAACCTTACTGACATGACAAAATGTCAGCTATCTTTTTTTAATTTAAGGTAAACAAATTTCAAGTAATCCATATATACAGATTTAGGAACCTAGTGATATTTCCCCTCTTACCCTCCCTCCTGCCCACACTCCCACATTTCCTCCTCATTCCTCTCTTATTCCATGTCTTAATTTTTAACAATGATCTACTTTCAGTTTACTTTATACTCATAAAATTAACCCTACATTAAATAAAGAGTCCAAAAATTGTACTCTCAGTCCCTTCCCATATGCCTGCTGGATGCCCTCACCACCTTCAAGTTTGTGCATGAATTGTGTTTTCTCTCTGTGGACTCCCCCGACCACCCTACTCAGTGTTGCACAACTTTCCTTACTGCTTCCAGTCTTTCTAATAGTCTGAATCTCCCTACCCTCACCCCATAACACTCAGAATCTTTTGCAAAGTCTATAATTTTCATCAGCAGTATGTTTATTGTTGGACTCTTCACCCCTATCAAAACACGTGAAGGCATGACTTTACCTTCTTTTGTTCGCCTCCGTATCTCTGACGTCAGAATAGTGCCTCGTTCATATTAGACACTCAGACATTGGCTGATGAATTAACAGATACAGGAGTGGATGAATCAGGGATGGCTTCTGTGTTCTCTTCTGAAGTGGTTCAAAAAGACAGTAGCAATAGGTCTGTGTGGTTGAAAAGTTGGAGGGTAATTGGAAATAGGTGCTCTGGTTGGTAGGGAAGCATGAGGCTGCTTAAAACCGCAGGACAGGGTTGACAGTAGAGCTGGGGGATCCCAGCAAGACTGGAGCTGATACATGTGGAGCCTTCATGCTGGAGCAGTTTTCCCCTACAAAGGCTTAGCAGCCCAGGGGAAAAACATACTTGGTTTGATCCAGGATTGGAGATTTTCCAAGTAGAAATATGAAGAGAGAGAAGTAAGAGAATCAGTAAAAGAACTGTGTGAAATAATTTTCCATGTATCCAGGATAGATAAAAAGAGAAAGTGGGGGCTAATAAATGGAGAGAAGATAAGGATGTCAGGGGTCTTGTATCTCTTAATGTCTTGATGAGGTTTTAGAACAGGTGGAAGGAGAATAAAGATATGAAAATTTTGGAAAAAGATAATGTACATTACTTAATCCCAAAACTCAACAAGGCTCCCACCATATGCTTCTACACTCGGTTCTCTGTATCCCTTCTTTGGGTTTTATCACTACTTTAAAAACTATTGTTCAGTGTCTATCTTTTTGGCAAATTATAGCCGTATAAGAACAGAACTTTTGTTCTTCTTGTCCATGCTCACAGTCCCAGTGGCTACCATGGTGTAGAGCACATGAGAGACGCCTAGCGAATCTTTGAGTAAATGAGTGAATTGGTCGCTGTGGCTGGGGCTGGAGACCATGGTATGAGGAACAAAGTTAGGTTGTGATGCTGAATTGGTGATCAAAGGTGGAAGCTAGAGTTGGGGACGAAGCAGATTGAGAAAAGTGTTGATGTGAACATTGACGCTTGTTGGGAGGTGTACAGCATGCTCAAGTTTTTAATGAATGCAAGGCCATGTCCAGGATATGGGTCATTCATGGAAGTGTTAAAGAGCTGTGATAGATCTCAGAGAAGCAAAGGTTTTATGGGAGAGCAGAAATCTGATAATTGGGAAGAAGCAACAATGAGATAATATATTCAGGTCTTTTTGGTGTCGGAAATCTGAGAGAATGAGCAGCCTGCACTTGGGAAAAGTATGCAGGAGAAGCAAGGGCCTTGGAGAGGAGCTTAGCTGAAGGCAGAGGGGTAATTAGGTGAAGAACTTGAAGCAATAAAGGGTCTTTGTTTTGATATATTGATTCTTTCTTTTGGATATAGAGGAAAGAATTGAGTGAAGTGAGAAGAGTAGAAGTACAGAGCACCATTGATGTGGGTTTTTTTTTTTTTTTAAAAGAATGTATTTATTTATTTGAAAGGCAGAGTTACAGAGAGATCTTCCTCTCCTCAAGTGGCCACAATGGCCAGGACTGGACCAGGCCAAAACCAGGAGCCAGAAGCTTCATCCAGGTCTCCCAGG